TTTGATGACCCATAGTAACAAACATGCTGTCAGGGCCCCATAGTACTAAAAGTTATCCCTGAACTCAAAAGCTCACAAACTCAACACCTACCAGGGCACGTGTAGGTGCATGGATCCATTATTCCTGGCCCAAATGCAGAGTGGGACTGGATTTGGGGGTTCAGGTTTATTGTTTGGCCCCTTATAAAGACAGGAGCATTCCCAATACATAGCCCCAAGCCTGGCATTTGGCTTCCAAACACGGCTCTCGCTTTGCTTCTCTCTCTTCATTCCCATCATCTTTCCTTCCTCTCATTGCTCATTTCCATGCTCTTCATCTCCTGCAGCCCAAGCCCTGCTGCTCCCAGGCACTGCCTACATGGGACTGTGCATTACAGCCCCTGCCCATGGAGGGGAAGGTCAGGGAGGGAGGTTTTGTGTGCTGAGAAAGGCAGCAGCAGACAGAGAGAGAACACTCATAAAGACCTGGCTGTGAGTCCCTCTGAGAACCTGTCATCTTGGGGGGGCTCTAATGGCTTTAATCTGCAGTACAAGGGGATTAAAAGCCTCCTTCTCCCAGCACAAAAGAGCAAGGATTGGAGCGGAAGGGGACAATGAAGCCTGCAAAGGGAGGAAGGGACAAAGTTAAAGAGCATCGGGATTTCAAGAGCTTCATCTTCCAGGGGGAATAAATGTGAAGAGGCCTGCATGGAAAAGGGGCTTTGCTTTTGCTTTGCCACACTGAGCACACCCACACTCGAGCCTTCAGCCATCGGGGCAGCTTATGTTTGCCTTGGTTGATGTGCAGAGGAAGAAGGGGAAGCAGAGGGTTAATGAGGCTTAGCCAATGTAACTCTATGGTTTAAGCAGTGGTTTGTGGTCTTTGATCCTCACCGCCCCCCCTCCAGCACATCCTTCAAACCCTCCTTGTCCTCAAGGGCCATGGAAAAGGGAAGGGGCCTGGGAACAGGAAGGAAGTACATGGAATTACAGGATGCTCTCCTCAAGTACCGCTTGAGGAACCTTTTCAAGTGCTCAGCGAGGCTGGGACCTGAAGAGGGTTGAATTGAAAAGGAAAGGAGACTTGAAATACTTGTCCAAAGGGAAAAACAGTGGGAGAGAAAGGCCAATGAGCCACCAATGCAGACAAGCTGTGCTCCAAAAGGGAAATCAGGTATTCAGGTTTGAGCATCGCTTATGCATGACAGGAAATGGGGTTTCTTTAGGCTGGATGCTAACCTCAAATCAAGGCAGGATTGAGCTGCTACATCAGCAGAGAGGTCTGGGCACAGTGTTCTCAAAGACATGAGGACTCTTCCCCCACCTGGAAGTAAGGACATAACTGAGCATGAAGCAATGGCAACCCAGGAGTCCTGAGTTTCCTCCTATTAACGCACTCACCAGCCTAAAGAAGTGGGTCTCTAGCAGTCCACTGTGTTCAATGGGAGGCCGACACTTGCTCTCGAGTCCTGCATTGAGCTCTGGCATCCAGAGGAGGCCATGGAGATGCTGCCAGGGCTGGAGCAGCTCTGCTCTGGAGCCAGGCTGAGAGAGCTGGGCTGGGGCAGCCTGGAGAAGAGAAGGCTCCTGAAGGGGAGACCTTAGAGCAGCTCCAGTGCCTGAAGGGGCTGCAGGAAACCTGGAGAGGGGCTTGGGACAAGGGCCTGTAGGGACAGGGCAAGGGGAATGGCTTGAACCTGCCCGAGGGGAGACTGAGCTGAGCTCTTAGGCAGAAGCTCTTCCCTGTGAGGGTGCTGAGGCGCTGGCACAGGGTGCCCAGAGAAGCTGTGGCTGCCCCATCCCTGGCAGTGTTCAAGGCCAGGTTGGACACAGAGGCTTGGAGCAAGCTGCTCCAGTGGAAGGGGTCCCTGCCCATGGCAGGGGTTGGAACTGGATGAGCTTTAGGGTCCTTCCAATCCAAACCATTCCATGATTCTCCAGTCCTGTGCATTATCCCCCTTCCCAGCTCAGGAGAGATGCTCCCCAACCCCAGGCCCAGTGAAATGCCTGATCCAGGTTCTCTCAAGTATTTTAGCAGCTCAGCAGTGCTGGGGCTGGCTCCTGCTCTGTGCACAACTTGTACCCAGAGGAGGGAGAAAATAAAGACTTTGTAACATAATAAGCAAGTTCCAGACAGGAATTAGGGTATAGAATATCCAGTGGAGACAGGGGGGCTGGAGTGGCATTAAGGTAGGAAGAATATAATTACCTGAACTGGCCTGTGGCCAGCAGAACAGTACGAGTGCAAGAAACCAGATTGGCCAAAACCTGCATTTTCCATTTAAACCCAGAAAGATGGCAAATAGCAGCATCCTGATTCCATTCTTCCACCTTTGGGCTGGAAGGAAAGCTCTCCTGATAGGTTTTCACCCCTAACAGCTATCCCCGTGGCCACAAAGCCAGAGCTCACCCCCAGTTTCCTTTGGGAAGCCCTCCCATCGCATCCCTGGATCTCAAGGCTGCAATCTTGCAGCGCAGAGAACAGAGCATCCCACTCCCCATCACTGAGCAATAAAACCCCACTCAGTCCCAAGTATAGGCAGGAGCAGGTTCCTTCTCCTGAGCATAGCTCCTAAATGGATCTGGTATTCATTAGCCACTGCTCTGCAGAGATAAATGCTTCATCCTCTGGCTGTTGACACTGGAAATGGCCCAGTCTCCCCTGGGGTGGATGTTATAAAGGGGAACTTGGCTTCAACCACGCTCCCCACATCATGTGCTGTACAAACGCTCCCTGCCTTGGAGGTAATGGATTTCATAGGGTGGATGGGATCTTTCCATTGGCAGAACTAATCCACAATAATACATGCCCCAAGTACTCATTGTATCAGGTTTTGCTTCCTCCCCTCTTATTTCTTTTCCTTAGATGTAATATTTCACTTTTCACGTGGAATTGCTCATTTTCAGGCATTCTTCATTTCCTTTTAGCTTCCCAGTTTTCCTCCTCCAGGCTCAATAGCAAGGGGGGCTTCCTACGCAGCACAGCCCAAGGGATGCGGAGATGGGGCTGCACCACCCCGGGTGGCTTCCATTTCCCTGCAGGAGAAAGGCCAAGCATCTCTGCTCTCACACCCACTGGAGACCTTAAATCCACAAGTTTGCTTGTCAGGGAGGAAAAAGAGCAATGCTGATGCTACCAGAGAGGGCAAAAACTGCTCCCATTCCTCACCAAGCTTCTAAGGAACTGGGTCTTTGCCATGGATATACCACTGCATTCCAGGAGCATCCCAGCCCCAATGCCACCCACTCTCCCCCCTCCTTACTCTTCTCTTCCCAAGGGCTTTACAAGCAGTTTAGTAGCTAAAGACCATTTAAAACCCCAACACAGAAACGAGTTTGAAAGGCAGTATTATTGTACACAGAGACATAAGTTACAAGTACCTGGGAGCATCACTTTGCTCCCCATTTCAGAACAAAACAGGCTTTCAAGACAGGGCACTTGCACAGACTGGAAGCATTGCACCACAAATACCTGCTGCAAGGGTTTGAACACAGGAAATACAACAGGGAGTCCGTGCATGGTGGCTCTTTACCCCCAAAACACCAAGCTCTGGCTCAACACAACTCCTATGTAACGTACAGTGGGGTCCTGAAGCTCTATACATTGCAATGAGTGTCGTGGAGATGAGCATCCAACTGAAGTGTTTACTGCTCTATAGCTAACGTAACAGCAGCCTGCAGCCTTTCCTTGGGATCAAACCTTGCCCACTGTCACAGCATCCCAGGGAAGCATTGGCTCTGGAGCTGCACTTCAGCAGAAACCATCCTTTATGTCCACCAAGAGGGTTGAACATTGGATTACGTGCATTACATCAGAGATAAGGGTGCACAGCAAGGATGCTGAGTGGAAGAGAAGTGTAAGCTCATCCTTCCAAACCGACATCCATGGTGTGAAGCCCATCTCTGAATGATGGTTTTTAGCCTCCTGATGATACCCCTGAATCTATGACTGCAGTCATGGAGCTCCAAACACATTAAATCCATAAGGAAACAACAGGCAAGCATCTAGGAAGCCACCAAGCTCAACAGGGCCACAGAGGGGCTCCTTCTCCCACTCCTCAAGAGCTGATGGAGTAAATGGAAGTAGAACAAGAAGGGAAATAAGCCTGGCAGTGAAAGACATATATTGTGCTTAAAGATACATGGGAGTCCTGCTTCCCATCCTGCTGCTTGGCCATTTGGGACCATCTCCAATGCTTTGCCTAACCTACTCTTAAGTTACTTAACCCATACTCCCTCCTTTTCCAAGCAGGTAGCAAGTCATCATCTCACAAGTGTCACTGGTGAATGATGCCAAACTGCTTTGCTTCATTACCTTGGATCCTGCCTAGTCTTGGGATGGCCATAGAGCTCCCTAAAAACATACATGCTGGCAGCAAGCTCATCTTTCCTTGTACTTTCACACACCAGAAGCATGAAGCAGCACACACTATGTGTGTCCATTATTCAGCAGCTGTCTCTGGGAAGGAGAACGTAGTAAGTATTGTAGTGATGCCAGTAGTAAGCACACTGGAGTTCCATGTTGTTCCCACTGAGTATCCAGGTCTGAGGAACTGTGCTGATGGAATGCACTGTTTGGCATTAGAACACAGGAACTAGCTGGGATCCTGCATGCTTCCCTCTTGAACTCTCTTCTGATGTGTAGAGAACACCAAGAGCAGTGTCCTATCCATCAGGAAGCTACATCACTGCTCGGTTCATCCTTCTTCCAGGAGCAAGTCCCCAAACTGCTCTGTTGGTGCATATTATGTCCATGTGCCCTGTCCCAAACCTGCCAGGCAGGCAGCATAAGCTTGCAGAGCCACTCAGGCCTTGGATGAGCTGGGAAAGCAGCTAGCAAGCTGACATGCCATTCATTCTGTGCTGGGTGGCACTGGACATCATGACCTGAGCGCCTTCCTCTGCACACTGCAGCTGTAGCAAGGCATGGTAACACAGCAATGACCAAGAGAGCTGAGGTGGTGCTCTCAAGCCATCACTGTGCTCTATGCCATACCTCTGCTATTCCTCCTGCTCTCTTCCAGAGCTTGCTGTGACAAGCCCTTGTGTGCAGGAGCTGCTTTACTTGCAAAGTCTCACACATGGGGCAGCTCCTTTTCTCCTGTGCATTCCAAGTAACAGCTTCTGGGACTTAAAACATGACCCAGCAGGCAAAACACAAGGTGATCCTGCAGTGCAGCTATGTTAACACGCCTCTTGAGCCTGGGGACAGCTCTATCAGGACCACAAGCCTACTTGTACCCTACTATTGAGGCAGGAGGAGACAGCAGAACACAACCATGAGGGAGCAGTGGCAGTGGGAAGGAGCTTATCTTGGTCCCTAAAGCAGAAGAGCAGCTTGGATGTCTGCACTGCTTCCCACCTCCCAGTTCTCTGGGCAGTGGGGATAGGTCCCTAGCATTCACCTCAGGGCTGTCACCACATTCCCAAGCTCCACACACTTCCTTCTGGTAGATGATGTGGCAGAGGCACAGGGCAGGCTGCTTAGAGAGCATTTGGTCCTCCTGGAGAAACATCCATCATCCACATCCCATCCCATCAAGTCTTGATGGCATGCTGGAAACAAACCCTACCTGCCATCTGCCTTTAGGTGTTAGAAACACGGAGTGAGACAACAGGCTTTGAGGGCAGCCTGAGCATCCCCCTCAGTGTCCAGCTCAGCACAGGTCAGGCATCTTCACTGCAGGCTCTCCAACAATGGGACAGATGCTACACAGGCCCTGGCACTGGGTTGAATCCCTTACCCAGCCACAAGAAGCCTGGAAGCAGCCTCATTTAGCACTGCCTGGGCCGTTTCTTTCCAAGCAGCTCCCAGACACGTTCAGTGAACACTGAAAATGAAACCATCCCGTGCCAGTGGCTGCTTCTGTCCTTCACTACAGCAGCTCTGCTCAATGGGCTTTGTCCAGGCCACTGGGGGCTGATGGTGACACAGATGAGGTCCCAAGCTCCTCGCTGGAGCCCTTCAGAACCAAGAACTCCAGCAGGATGTCCAAGAGGCAGAAAACCAGGTGCCTGAAAGGGAGAGAAGACAAAGCTGAGGCTGGTGAGGGCAGAGCAGAGCTCGGAGAGCAGCTCCACACACACAGAAGCCAAAGCTCAAGCAAGGAAGAAGTACCCTGAGTGCCAAACATGTGGTACCCTAGAAGCAGGGTTTGAAGGGATGGGTCAGGTTTTGTCCACCCCACAAAGCAGTGGCTGTTTAAACACAAAGGCACCTCCTGGAGTGAGGTGGCACAGATTTCATCACACTGCTTTCCACAGTGTTGGGTATACAGCAAACACAAATGCAGCTCCCTAAGCTCAGCTGAAACCCAACTAAACCAGGAGTTGTCTGACGGTCCCTTGATATCCACAAGCTCATGAACAACACTGGCTCCATGTTCTCCAGCCAGTCCAAGGTCCTAAACATGCATCTTCACGCTAAGCCAGCCAGATGCCCTCTGACAGTCCAAATCCATCCTCATGAGCCAGATGTGTTCTGCACCAAGCAGCATTCATGTCACAGTGAAGCCCTCAGTGGAGCTTACAGCCCATATCACAAAGACCATCAGGGTAAAGAGACCATAATCCACATACCTATTGATGACAGGCTGGCTCAGGGACTCCAGGACCACATTCCAGCTCATCCGACATTTACTGGTTCCAAGGATTTCCTGGACCACATCTGTCAATGACAGAGAAAGTTTTAGGAATGGCACATTTCCATAGTAAAACTGGGTCAGTCTGAAGCTGGTGCATACTAAATCAAAGCTTATGATGGTGCTTCAAGCCTGAGGCATCTCTCATCCAGCATCACCATGACAAAAACCAGCCAGGGACAGCACTGAATGCCAGGGAAGCATTCCAGGCTGGAAGGGCATCTACTGGTAGTGCTTTTTCATCCCCAAAGGATAGTAAAGGCCTCTTATGCTGCAGAGAAGAGCTCAAAGTTCAGAGCACACTCACATGGATTACGCAGCAGCTGCTTTAATGCCAAAGGTCCCTGTGTCAAGCTTGACTGCAGCACGATTGCAACCCAATGGGAAAAGCCACTCTTTAGAGTGAAGCCAAAGGCTTTTCCTTATGATTCCTCTCAGCAATGGAACCCTTTGGCAGCAGATGGGAGCACAATGCAGCACTGGGTTTGCTGAGCCCACCCTCAGCTGGGAACCACCAGGACACACGTTGGGTCTCTCTATGCTGTACTGCTCCCTAAATGCAACTGGAAAAGTGGCTTTTACCTGCAGGAAACCGTTGTAACTCTAAGGCCGTGAGCATTTCCCAGTGTTTAACCACCTTTCCAATGCACTGGAGGGTTCCCCAGCCTGGTGCACAGCTCCTTTCTCAAGGGCAGATGACATCCCTGGGACACACTTACTAGGCAAGATGCCCATGAGGCTCTGCAGGGCCTGCTCTGCTGCTGCTTTCTTCTGTTCCTCTGTCCTGGCTGGTTTGGGCACTGCTGGTAAGAGCCCTCCAGGCCAGATGGATTCCTGTAGCAACTGGAGGTACTGGACCCAGCGCTGGGTGCAGGTCAGGTTCACTACCTGCACCTCCAGCCACCTGTGGGCAGAGGGAAAGAGAAGGAAAGGTGAGGAAAAGCCGGGCTTGGTACCAATGTGGGAGCTTTCTGCCCATCAAGAGGGGTAGAGCAGCTCACTGGGGAAGTTCACATGCAGCTTGCAAGCCTATACACCAGTGTCACAAGTACCAAGTCTCCCCATGCATCAGAAGTAGGCACATGGCCCTTATTTTACAGACAAACACATCTGTAAAGTCACAGGGGAAAAGCAAAGGCCACGGGGAGCACCATCACCCTTCTGTCCACAGGCAACCAAATAAGTGGTCCCTAAAGGGAGCATGGCTAGAGGATATGAGTGGCCTTAACCTCCTAAGTTATATCCATTCAGAGAGCTGCAGGCAGTAGTGTTTTAACTCTGAAACAAGCCCTATAACTGCCTGGAAGGATGGGAACATGTTCTGACAAGCACTCATTCTGTCACCAGTCCCCTCCTGCTCTTATCCTGCTTCTCACATCCAGCCTTGCTCCATCCACCAGTGGCAGGCAATGGATTCATCCCTATTCCCATCCCAGTCCTCGTGTTGCACACCTATTAATAGGGAAGCTCAGTGCTGCATCAAGACTGGGCCCTTTAAACAGGAACAACCTGCACATCCTGAGGTTGTAGGATAAGGGCTTGGAGGCATCTGCAGCTTGCACAGAGATGTGTCCGCACCACCAACCCCAAGTGCTGGCAAGGGATTGATTCTAAACCCTTGTTTTAAGCTTAAACAGGGCAAGTTCAGGTTAGATCTAAGAAGCTCTTCCCTGTGAAGGTGACGGGACACTGGGATGACTTGAATGGAGAAGCTGTGGCTGCCCCATCCCTGGCAGTGTTCAAGGCCAGGGGCTTGGAGCAACCTGCTCCAGTGGAAGGTGTCCCTGCGTGTGGCAGGGGGGTGGGATTAAATGGGCTTTAAGGTCTCTTCCAACCCAAACCAGTCTGTGACTAAATCAGCAGTGCAGACCCCCTTGCCCAGACATGAAATCACTTCCCCATGTCACAGCAAAAGCCACAGCCATCAGTCACCACTTGCCACTACCTAAAATCCTTCCCCCTTGAATAAGGAGATGAATCCCTGATGCCACAGAGCCCACCACGAGGGTCCCCATCCATTTACCAAGACCAGGACTCAGTGGTGCAGCACCGCTGGCAACATCCTCATGAGCAGGAGGCTCCAGAGCAAAGAGGGAACATCAGCAAGGGGTTGGGATAGGCATATGGATAAGGCTTGTGATGTGGCCAGTACTTCAAGAGTCCCATGGGAGAGCAGTCGGGAAGCAGGGCCAGGAGCCCCGTTCCTCTTGGCAGCCTGTGTTCATGCTTGCAATTCCCTCACCACTCCGCCCCGGCAGCTCATAGTACATCCAAGAGCACGGGCCCTGCCAAGGCAAACTTTATTTAACCTGCCCTCTGCCAGACTGTCTGCATTCTTCTGAGGCGAGGCAGCCAGGCCAAGGGCTTCCTTCCCCACACAACTGGGACACCACGAGTGGAGGAGCTGGAATAGCAACACCTAAAGGGGCAAAGGAAGAGCAGGTAGCGATCGTTGGGACCGAGGCTGCAAGAAGATGCTCCCTTCTTCAGCATAAGGTGCCTAACTGCAAGTCTTGAAGGATGCAGACCGAGGCAATGGGGTTGCAGAATCAAAGAGCACCAAAGAACCTGACAATGAGCCTTGATGCAGCAGTTAGAGCTGTTATGTCTCAAAGCATTACTGGTGCAAGGGCAGTGCTCCCAGTCATCCCAGTAACAGCACTGGAAATGGGGAGATACATTAATGCTCAGCCTCATGAGGAGTGTTGATGTAGCCAGCAGTGTCAGAGACCCAAAGCATACTTTCAACCCATTTTAGAGGACAAAATGTCCCATTCAGTGTTGCCTGTTTAAAATCTAGTTGCAGGGAGGGTTTTTATCTCCAGCCGGCACTGGAGTTTAACACCCTGGATCACGTTAAATCCTCAACCAAACTCAAATGTTAAAGTGAGACTCCTCCAGGGGCACGAGCTTTCATTATCAGGCTTTTTCATTAACGTGGTTTCTCATACAACCTGCTCTTCCTAATGGAGAAACCATCTGACAAGCAACACGCGTTCAGACACTTGGGGACAGCGCTGCAAGCGGCGCAACCAGGCCTCAAGGGACATCAGACTGAACACTGACTCACAGTTCATGTCAGCAAGTCACTTACCATGCTCTACAAGAGGGCAGAAAGGGAATCATCCTGCTTTGTGTTAGCAATGCTCCTAAACCAGCAAGAAATCAAGCAAATAGTGGGCTGAAATTGAACTTGGAGAAGACAGCACGTCCTCAGACACATCTGAAGTTGTTAGCTTCAGTGGGCTGAGCTGACAACTGCTGGAAGGCCCTGCATAAACCACCTATCATTTCATCTCCACAAAAGCCACCAAAACACCCCTGATGGATTCTTTACTCTGGCAGCTCTCTGCCTTCTGCTTTGGGAAGCACATAGCAGGAGATGAGAAGGGCTCTGTTGGTTTTATCCCATGGTGCATCATTGCGTGCTGCATGGATGCTCCTGAGAAGGGGCTGATGTGGTCCATCACATGGTGCTCAGGCAGCAGGATGCTTGCTGCTAGGAAGAGCGGAAACCACCATCAAAAACATACAAAGAAGAAACCAGACAGGGAAGGGGACAAGCAAAAAGGTAAGGAAATCAAAAGTGGGTGCAAATGGAAGGAGTAACTGAGCTCTAAGTTCCCTCTTTCCTGTCTACCAGGGCATGGACCCATTCCAAATGCACTGGGAAAAGCAGAACTGTCAGGACTGATCCATCTGGCTCAGCATCCATAGGAGAGCAGCTGATGCTCTCAGATCCTTCAAAAGGAAACAGTAACCTGCCACCAAGAGTCTTCCTCTCTGTCCTATGACTTTCCATCTGGGAGACCCAGGACCAGGAGTCACAGCTCACACTTCTCACCCAGGAACTCCAGCTATGTGCTGGTCCACAGCTGACCTTTGCCAGCAGATTACAGATGATTTTTAGTACTATTAAAGGACTAAGCATTTGAGATCCATGTGCCACATAAAAGCACCCCCCCCGTGCTTCCAGGTAGAAATAAATCCATCAAGAAACACAAATAGAGTCATTTGGATGGCTGAGGAGTTACTATTTCCATTCTGCTATTTCATGAAGAAGCAGCCTTAATAAGAAAGCAAGCAAAATAAACCCATCACCAAACCATCTCCTTACACTTCACTTGAGACCACAAATAGACCAAGTGACCTCCTGGGCTCAGACATGCAAATGCTTTGATAATGCCCAATGCAAAGAGACAGACTGCAAAGGCTACAAAGTCCTGGAGGTGCATAACTTGCCCATGCTGTAAGGGTCCTCTTTGGAATAGCTGCTGCTGGAGGAATGAAATGACTCCTAAAAAAGAGCTGATTTAATGCCATGGCTTAGGCTTGAACTCCAAAGTCAGATGAAGTGGCTCATTAAGATAGAAAAGGCAGAAATGCCCCAGCAATGAGGGAAGAAAAGGCCTGGGTGAGATGCATCTTGGATGACTTCTGGCATCCAGCAGCAACAAAGGCTGCTAAGATGGAGCAGACAGTGGTAAAGGCAGACTTAAGAGCAAGGAAGAGGCAAAATACAATGCATGGATGTGCTTTTACCTGCCTCCTGTGAGCTGGGTGCACTTTCTCAAGTGGAATCCCCAGAGGGTTCACCTGCAGATAGAGCAAGCTCAACTCAGCAAGCAAAGGCTGGATTTGCTTAAGGCTGGAAAAGAACAATGGACCAGCAGTTGTGAATCCCCCATAACTGGGAATTACAATGATTCAGACTAACTGGAGACCACAATAAGACAGAGACAAGAAAACCTCTCCTCATCTGCTTTAGGTGTGTAAATAAACATACACAAGCTGTGCAAAACAGTAGCGATTCCAGCTCAATATCTACTCCTTGCCACCCCTGAAGGCCTCAATTTCCCTCAGGGCTAAGCAGGAGCTCAAAGGCCCCTGAGACCTAAAAGGATTTAAGGAAAAGGCAGCATCTGGAAATGCAAAAAGCCATTCAAGCCTCTGCCTCTTAGGAAACGGAGAAGGGCTGGTACTTAAATCACCATCCTTCCCTTTACAGTGCTTGTCCCCCAAATTCCTCCCCAGATTGTGCCTCAAACCACAAGAACATCCTTCACTCAAGGGCTCATCAACACTGCAGTGCTTAGACTGTAAAAGATTGGAGCTAAAGCTTGGGAAACCAAAGCAAGAGCTGCAGAAAGCACAGGGAGAAGAATGGAAACAGCTTTTAGCACCTGCATGAGCCCACATCTGCCTTCACTCGGCTCCACCACCTTCAAAAGCAAAGCCACACTTGTCCAGGCCATAGTAAACCCTTCACTGAGGAAGGAAACAGCAAAGACAAAAAGCTCTCCATAAATCAAAGCAATACAAAGCACCCCCCCAGAGTCCCTTTCAACTCCTGGCCAAAAAGGAGGCAAAGAGTAAACTCTCCTCCTCTCCTTACTGGAAATGGTGCTCTATAAAACATCTCTAGTTGTATATGCTGTGAACAACACGTCCTGTACCCCTGCCTGAGCACACTAATGGAGTGTTTGACCAGTGAGGCAGCAGCCCTATGACCCAGTGCTTGGCCTTCACACACAGCATCCCACCAGCCTCCCAAGCACAGCTCTGCTTGAAGGAAGTGAGAAATGAAGGTGGAATAAAGGGATTCTCCCCCTCTGCTGTGCCCTGTGAGATCCCCCCCTGCAGTCCTGGTCCAACGACGCAAGAAGAGGCCATGGGGATGCTGCAAGGGCTGGAGCAGCTCTGCTCTGGAGCCAGGCTGAGAGAGCTGGGCTGGGGCAGCCTGGAGAACCCAGCAGCCTGCATAAACCCACCATTAACCCTCCACAAAGCTCACAAAACTCAACCCAAAAGGAGACACGAGCTCCTCTCAATCCTTTTCTTTGTTCTCTTTTGAAACAGGAAGTTTTGGGGTTTGGTGGGTTACTTTAAACCTAGGGAGAAAGCTGGCATGGATCTAACAGCTGAAATGGAATCAAAAGAGAGATGCACTTAAAAGTGTTGCAACTGTTATCAAAGCAGAGTTGGATTCTTCATTCTAGTGGAAGAGGAAAAACACACTGTTTGGGATAGAGATTCCAAGCCAGATCCAAAATTTCCAGGTGCTTGGAGACAAGTGAATTGAGGCCCATTTCCAAGCTGGGTTTTATTTACTTGACATCCACACACAGTCCCCACAGCTTGCTTTTGCCATTCCTCCTGCTCCTTGCAGCTACAATACAACCAGCTAAAGCCAGAGGTGAAGAGGAAGATGCCAGAAGGCTGGCTCCCCTTCATACCAGCCCTATTGCTGGCTTTTGGGCTGGGGTTCCCACTTGCACTGCTGCAGGAGGGAGACCTTGGTGCCAGCCCCTCAACACATGGTTGTAAAGGGCCTTACTCCATGGGCCCTAACCACCTCCTCCAGGTAGCAAGCCAGAAGTGGATGGATTTCCTCACTCCACCTGCAGGTTGGCTCTGCCAGGTGCTGCCCAAGCTCTGAGTATCATACATAGAATGGTTTGGGTTGGAAAGGGCCTTAAGATCATCCAATTACAACCCCCTGCTCCATGGAGTAGTAAGCTATGTGTAAGCTCTGAAGCAGAAGTGGGAGCAGTCACACTGAGGTGAGGTGTGGATCAGCATTTGGCTGCTGGATTGCCCCTGCAGGGCTCCAGATGACCAGTGCTGGCCTGAATCCATTGCCCATTCCCAGCACGCCTGGAGCTGCAGGTGCTTGGCTGCTCGAGGAGCAGGTTTACTCAAGGACATTGAAGAGGCTCAGGCAACACTCCATGCTGGTGGCACTTTCATGTCAAGAGCACCAAGGAGGCTGCCAAGGATCTTGGTTCTGGCCAGTGCTGTTGGCACAGAGATCAAGGAAGAAGGGAAAGAACAACCCCACCACCTGGAAAGCAGCTTCCCAAAAGGTCTGAGCTCATGCACTCACACCAGCAGTTGCACAAGTGCCATTACCCTTGGCCCTGAAGCCAAAGTGACAGCAAGAGGTTGAAGGCAAAGGCAGCCTGGGGTTGTGCCCAGGGCTAAGCCCCAGCACCAGCCCATCAGAACCCATCTGTGCTGCATCCCTCATGGAGGGATGGGATGTGTGCCATGAGAACAAGCTGCAGCATCCTTTGGAGCTGAACTACCAAAGGAACCCCTGTCTTAGCTGTAAGGACCCTTTGCTACCCTCTTAAATTGACGACCCAAGACCTTTGTCCATCACAGGCCATGGGTATCAGTCCAAGAGCTTCTCTTCTGGTGGGGCTAGAAGCCAAGTGAGCCCCCAGAGTGAGGGGGCTCCCCCAGCCTTGCACTTCCCATTGAAGGTGCACTGAATGTGCAGGAAAGAGCCAAATCTGGATAACCCAGAGCCCTGCAGGCTCCAGCAGCATTCACATCAACTGCATCCTGCCTGTACTTACCCCAAAGCATGGCACTGGCTGCTTCCATATGCTTTAGTTATCCATTGCCTACACAGTTCCCTTGTCTGTGTCAAGGTGTTTGCTCTTTAGACCAGGACTTAACCTGCTGATCCAAACCCCAACAGAATCCCCCCCCCAAACACACTGCAACAACTCAGATGCTCCAGACCTACTAACAGGCTGCAGATGATCATCTCTTTGTGTCCTTACCCAGCTCTTCATCCCAGCCAGATCCAGCACCTGAAACCAAAGACAACCCCTTGCTGCTACAGCCTTCAGAGGACCCACTCAGCCCAGTTTTCCTGTCTATATTCCAAACCTTAGGAACAACAGGTCAAGAGAGGAAGCCCTGCAAGGAAAACAAGCCAAAGCCAGCCAGACTCACAAAGGGAACCAGAACTAGAAGAGCCTGAAAGAAACCACTTCACAGAAGCTGACAGTCATCTGCAGTCACTCTCAATGCAGATCCATGTGCTCCCAACACAGACTCTGCTGGGAAAAGCCCAGCAGCAGCTGAAGGGCCCAGTGGTGGCCATCACCAGCTTGGCACGACACTGACCTGGTGAGCATTGTGCTGCTGGGGACAGAGCAAGGGCAGGGCACAGGGTCAGAGCCATGGGTCACATGCATGTATTTCAGTCCTCTTTGACTCACAAGGCTCTAAACAGCTCACAGATACTCCAAATGCTTTATAGCTGCTCCACCAAACACCCCCAGAGCCCAGAATAGCCCCAGCTCCTCCCCTGGGCCAACAGGTTCCTGTTGCAGCCTCCTGCTCAAAGAGCCTTGTATTTCCAGTCTGTGGGAGGGGAAGAGAGCTGGAGCTCCTCCTGGCTCCAGAAAAGGATCATTCCCAGTTACATAATGGGGTGAGCTCCACATGGATGCAGGCTCACACACAGGGCCCTCCCTTTTACTGAACAATCCCAGTTTCAGTCATACAACCATCTGCCTCTGCAACAGCCAGAGGAGACTGATGGCTTCCAGCTCCAGTGACTTTGGCTACAGAGAAGAGGGGGGAAAAGAGGATGTGGTAGGATGCTCCATGCAGGGAACAGTGGATAGAACAGGGTAGGGAGGTCCCATCATCACTGTGGTAACTGCACTCACTTGATGTCACAGCAGTGGGCATTGCAAGTCCCAAAAGGGGAGGAGGATTCACTCTCCAGAGCAGCTGGACCTTTCTCTTGATGCTTTTGTGTTGGTTCTCCTGCTCTGGCTCAAGGCACACTTGGTGTAGAGGGGTAGCAATGTTACAGGAGCAGCACAGTACTCATACAAGCTGGTCCATAGTATATCCAGCAGCAAACTCCTTCCTAACACCCAAACTGAGGGTGTCTCAGCCACCCTCTGCACAGCTCAGGGCCAGGGTGCAATAGCAAAGCAGCACGGAGGCCAGATTTCAGGGTGACACATCCAGTCCCAGGGACATGGGGTTAGCTCTAAAGGTCACATCTGTACCCTGCTCACAGCACTAAGAAGTCACTAACATTGCCTCCAGCCAAGGGTTTGCCTATAGCACACGTGGCTTCACCCAGAGCCATTGAAGTGGGGCAGCTACAAACACATTCCCTGTTCCTCCACTTTCCATGTGCTGTGTGTGACAGTTCTCTAGTGGAAAATACCAATGCCACGTGTCAGTGCTGCAGACTCCCTGTGTGACAGGGACCGAGCATATTAGGAGGTGATGATGTGCCTATTCAAGCTCTCCATGCTTACACACAGGGATTGGATTCCAGCTCATTCCTCAAGAGACCAGAGCCCATTTGGGAGCAATGGGAGCAATACCCACCCAAGAAACAGACTCAGGAGTGATGGCCAAGCAGCCTCAAAGCACTTTGGCAACCTCTGCTGAGAAGAGCTTAAGTTACCAGCTCAGTTCTAATGTGCTGCCCTGCACATTCTGACCCTGCTTGGAATGCCTGTGAAGGAATAAAGGGGGCACAGGGGTGGGAAAGCACTGTTCTGAGACTCCCCCAGCCCCAATCCTGCCAGGAAGGCTGTCCTTGTGCTCTAAAGGACCATTCCCTCAGCTAGTGATAGTCCCCAACCTACACAAGAACACAGAAATGCTCTGTTTGTGTGTCTTGGCCTTGTGCCTTACCACACAGAGGCACTGGCCCCAGAACAGCTTGGCAAGTCCAGCCCAGTTGGAAAGGAAGTCTTTCCTTACTACATCTGTGGGTCATTGCCCAAGGCACAGCACAACTGGCCCACCATGGATCAGAGCAGGCTGTATCAGTGACAAAGGCCCTGGGAGGCCATGCTCTGAGGTGTTACTTGACATGTTACTGTTCCCTGTGCCTGTTTATGCTCTTTTTGTCCAAGGAACAAGCTCAGCCCCTGAGCACTGTAAGACCAAGAGGCCAGCTTCTCCCTGGAGCTTCCCATTCCCAGGGCTGGATCCTTCCTTTCCACTGGTCAGGACAGGAGGCTACCTGCTAGAGTTACATTGCTGCTCATAGGGGAAAGAGCTCCTGGTGCATAGCTCCAAGACATTTACTCTGCATACATTGGCATCTCCTTAACAGAACCTTGTTTGAAGTGGCAAAAAGCATTTATGTGCACACGACTGCCATTGAAGACTGCAGCCCCAAATGCTACCTCCCAGAGCTGTGAGGTTGGTTGTTGAGGCCTTACCTTTGAATGAGGGTCCCAAAGAGCAGGTGAAAGACCTTCTGGATGTTCTCTGTGCACAGCCAGCTCCAGTGATCCATCAGCAGCAGGCGAAGCACATCCAGGGCCAGGTCAGCCAAAGCTGTCTCTGAGTCTGCCAGGAGGAAGAGGAAGGGCAGATGAAGCAAACCTGGGGCAAAACCTCATCCAAAACTCATTCTTCCCCCCAGCCTTGCACCCTGTGCCACACAGGTGACCTGCCCCGGTCACTCTTTCGTTTCTATGTCATTCAAACTGCCCCAACCTCCCTACCAAGGGGTGCACCAGAGCAGCATTTGGCTGCTCCAAATTCCTTCTCAGTTAAGACAAGGGATTGTCAAGCCCCAGTCCACACACAGGGATGGCAACAGGCCCAAAGCAGGTGAGAAGCAAGGCCAGGAGAAAGGCTGTTTGCTGGGAGGGCCCTCTTTCCCCCCCACCCTTTTCCCTGTTTGAACATGCTCTTTTCCAGGCTCAAGGCTGCTGTTGGTGTCCTCACGCTGCCATCGTGTGGCTGATCCAAGTCGCAGCAGGAAGACGGATGAACCCCATCCGGATAAACCAGATGCACCGGGTAAAACCAAACCCACACATAGCCCCGGTGAGAGACCTGGGATAGCAAAAGCTCTTTGTGAACCCTCCATTCAGGAGGGTGTCAGAGCGCACCGTGTAAGCACATTTGACACCCTGGAGAATGACTTTGATGCTGCTTGGCCCCAAAACATCACAGGTGTTAACCTCAACGAGCCTATGTACCATAAACCTGCGTGAGACAAGGATCTCAACCTGAGGCTACTGCTTTGGCTCTGCCAGCTCCTGTGTAGCATAGCTCTAACCCTCCACTCTGCCTATAAAGCATCAATGAGACTGTTATCTACTGCTGCTAAAGGGAAGAAGGAGTCTAGACCCCAGCACCTCTGCTTCCCTCCTCTTCCTCTCCCTACTGGACTAACTGCAGGCCATTCCACTTGGAAAAGGTGTGAGTACATTTAGCACCTCTTTGGGCCATGCCCACCTTACTCCTCGCTTGCTTCACCCTTTGAGGCTGTGCAAGACCTGAAGCAGGCTGTTGAGCTCCACCAGAACCTCCAGGAGGATCAGTTTATTCCCACAGCATCCAAGTCCCCTCCTCAGATCGCTGCTGGCCAGCCTCTTCCCAGAAGTGCCCCAGGGAGCAGCTCCTCACACTGGTTGTAGGCAGCTGCTCTGCAGACATCCATTCCCCTTCTCCCTGCCAGAGCAGCCTACTCTGGCTCAGCTCAAGCATCTCAGACCTTCACAGCTCAGCTAACTTGGCCTCCCTGCATCACTGTGGCACTGGCCTCCCATTCCACTCCTGCTCCCCAGGAGCCCCACAACAACCAAGGGGTTGTGTTCAGAGACAAGCTGGTCTTTGAATACCAGACCCATCCTGTCACAAGCACATGTCTGCACGCAAGAGCTTGCCAAGCTTGAAGTTTTTGGGAAGTTCCAGCTGATACAGCTCAGCTATTCCAAGAAAGAGATTAGAGAACATTGTTTTGCTCATGGTCAGGATGATCTTACAACTGCTCTGAGGGGCCATAACACCGTTGTGCTTCAGGGGAAAGAAGTATAAACACAAAGGGAGCCTCATGCCTTGTACTGGGATTATGTACCAAATCTAGCCACACAACAGCATCTCAAAAGGCCCTTTTATACTGCCTGGACATATTAACTTGGGACTAAGAAACCCTAATTTGGCCATTTTGCAGTTTCCAAGAGCTTGATTTAACATTGGCACTTTAAACAGCGTGTCCTTAAGTAACTTAGCTCTGCACTGCCTGTACTGAGTACTCCTACAGTGAAGCTCTACAGTGACACAACAGAGCCAAGGCCCCAATTGCTATTCCACTAGGAATAACAAAGACCAGAGCAATCATCACAGGGGATATGTAAAGTATTAACAGATAGAGCTCACCAGAGTCTGTGTCAGGCTGTTGCCCCTGTTCCAATGTGCCCATCCCATCCTTATCATCGTGCATGGAGCTCTCCTTCGCTTTTCTGCCTCCCTCGCCTTCAGGGCCTTTGCTGGGGAGTGCCTCCAGCAGCTTCTCCTGCTTCTGGATGAAGGACTCCATAGCAGTCATAGACAGGGTGCCAGGGACCTGAAAAACATCAGTGTATGAGTGCCACAGCCAGAGCTGAACAGATATACCTGGTCTCCACTCCTCAAACAGCCTCCCACCACCTGGTTTACACCTTGTTGTAGCCAGCAGCACAGCCATGGCTGCTTAGTGCTTTTCTGCAACAGCCACAACCCTCATGCACGTGGGTTATCCCAAGGCAGCACCCAGCCAGGGCAATGATTATGATCATAGAAGGACCTTAAGGGGGGGGATCTGGACTTACAGAGCTGCCCTCCCTGATGGAGTACACGATCCTGTCCTGTGCTTCACTTGCATTCAGCACTGGAGTAATTTTACTGGATGAGAACCTCAGCCTGGACCTGAAGAGGAGAAACACAGCACAGTTTGTCTCCACAAGCTGCAAGTGATGAGTTCCCCACCAGGACCTGGGATCAATTCGCTTTGTCCCATGTCACATCCAGGCTAACACGTCCCATTAGACCCAAAACAGTGTTTTCCCCCAGGATAACTAAGAGCTGGCAATAAAACCATGAAACAAAAGCATTAAAACCCTTTACACATGGGCCTGGCAAGGCTTTAGAACATCCACCCTGTGTTACATGTAAGTTTTCATGTAGTATTTCTCTTCAGTAAGGTGTGAGCATGCAGCATCCACAGGACGGTGCTCACAAAAGCCTCTGAGATGAAACATCCTCAGCAGCATTGTGCAACCCAGTGATAAACACACACATGAAGGATATGAAAGGGCATTTGGAATAATTGGAAAACAGCTTGTTTATCATTCAGGAATGCCTTTGTCAGCCAAGATGCTTCAAAACTTGTACTTTTTTGGTGCGTCTTTTTGCCCAAAGCAGCTTTTTCTAGTAAAACATCTATTTACCAGAACAATGCCATGCTTATGGAGCAACCTTCCCTCCTTGTGCAAGGGAACAATCACTGATGAGCACAAGGGAGCTTGTCCCTGCCAGCACCACCAAATACACACTTAGTGAGCAACAGAGATGCTTAACCTTCAACTCTCCTCCTGAAGACATACTCCAGTGTGCTGAGCAAAGCAGCATGGCACTGTGTGAAGCACATGGGCAAGGCAGGAGTGAACCTTCAGTACCTTGTGCAGTGCCTCACCACATTCTACAGGCTTAAGGTTAAAAAGCCATTCTCCTTGTCATCACCTCAGAGGTCCCTCAAGCAGAAACCCACCTTCTGAAAGCCTCAGTGCCCCAGAAACTCCTTTAGTCAAAGGAAGAACTCAGCCACCCTTACCCAGGACATGAATTCAGCTGGAGTACAACAGCAATGTCCTGCCCACATGTGGAGCACCAAGTCACAATGGAGTCAGTGTATGTAGGAAGTCCCTGCTCTGCACAAAGCACAGAGAAGCTGAAGGAGCTCTTACTTATTGCCCTTCTTCCCATCTGCCTGAGGTTTTCCATCCACTTCAGACTCGCTGAGATCCTCTGTGGGGCTCTGGGGCTCTGACCTGGGGAATGCTGTCTTCAAGGTGTCCACAATGGCATTGACAACAATCTGCAAGAGCCACAAGTGCTATCAGTTATTGTCTGTGTTCTTATTAAGAAATAGGAGTTTTCAGGCTTAAGCTCTATTTTCTATTAAAACCCCCAGTTTCTTTGTAGCTTTATGGCTTTCCAGGCAAGCTAAGCCCAACTACACAGAGCATTCAAGCCTTTTTGGCTACTCCTGCAGCATCCACATATAGAAACTGCAGGCTAAAAGACATCTCAGTGCAGTTTTAAGTGGTCCAGTTCCCACTTGTCTACCTTGTCTATCCTGGAGACAACAAAAGGCTTCTTCACAAAGGCAATCCTTGCATCAGTGTTCAGGGCCAGGAACTCCTGCACCTCCTCACTGTTGGCAATCTCAGGCACTGCACACAATTGCTGCAAGGAAAGATGGAGCTTTAGTTCTTTTTGGAGTCAAATTCCACCTACGCTATACAGGAGCAAGATGGGAAGGGATCTGATGTGCTCCACTCATTCTAGAGCTGTCCCAAGCTCTGGCTTTCTAGTTCACAAGGGCACACAACAAATATCTCACCTTCAAGAAAGATTCCAGCAGGCTTTTCCGGGCTTCCACTTTATCACTGTCCATGTTTCCAAATGGGAGATCAGGGAACAACTTCTTTGGGCCTTTGATATCTACAAAGGGAACAAACCCAACAGCAAGAGGTGTATTAAAACCTTAATGCTCTCATGGCTGAGGTTACCACTACACACTGCCTGGCATGGGTGTAAAGCCCACAATGAGCTACATGCCCCTCAAACCAGGGTAGCCAAATGAGACCTTAGAGAGCTTGTGTTCTGCTGGATCATCATTCACCTTTCAAGTTGAAGGCAGCAAGAACACCAGGTTAGCACAAGGACTCTACAGCACTCAGAGCCCAAGGATTCCTCTGCAAAGCAATTGCACACTGAACCCTCAGATCTATCAGAAGCAGAGGGTTAGGGAAGGAACCTGCTAAGCTCAGTGAAGCTTTATACACAAGGAGCATGAGAAAACACACTTTTCTTTGTTAAAAAGCTCGTATTACTCTATTTTCTTGTACACAAAGAAGCTCCCAGTGCTCCCACACCAATGGGTACCACAGAGCCCAGCATCCAGAGCTGCACAGGCAGGATGGGATACCCTCAGAGCCGAGAAGCAGGGGCTGGGGTGGGAGGGAGGGATGGAGGAGCTGATGCAGACACTGACTTTTGAGGAGCTTGCGGAGCTCTGGCTTCTCCTCCAGCCTGGTCTGGAGGTTGAGGAACTCTCGGTAGCGGCGGTTCACGGTGTGATAAGCCACTTGCTGCAGGTTGCCTGCGCTGCTCTCGCTCTCCAGGGCTGTCTCATACTGAGGAGAAAGCAACAGAATGATCCTGGCAGAGCCCTACACAACCCTCCTGTGGTCCCTGTAAGGCCCAGACCCCGCAGAGGTCCTCAGCAATGCTTCAGATTAAGCCCTCTGTGAAGAGCAGCAGCTTCAGAGCACGTGAACCCCTCCTGATGGGCATCAAGGACCCAACCGGCCTCACACAACCCTTGGCCAAGAGCAGGACCCCATCCCACACCCAGACAACCACAAATCATTGAGGCCAATATCCCCCACTGCCAGAATCTGTTGTAGAACCACACACAAAGCACATCCTCTTTCCCAGACATCAATCATCCCATGCTTCCCTGCCAGGATAGGGATCTTGCATAAGGGGTGAGTTCTGGGAGAGCTTTTACCTTAACAGTGTATAGGGTGTAGGGGTGGAAACCAGTCCCACTGTGCTCTCTGGCAGTGATGGTCCCAGTTATCCGCAGGTTCTGGATGACCACTGGTCCATCAGGGCTGCTGAGGGGCTCAAAGCTGAAGGTGCTGATGGAGGCCACTGGGGAAGAGGAGAGCAGGGACAGAGTCTGCCCAGGGTCTGGAGAGCTTTGTGATGGGCCTTCTGCTGCCCCCAGGTCTTTCCCCAAGCTGGAGGGCCTCTGTGAGGAGGACTTCTTAGGGACAACCGATGCTTCTTCTTCCTTCTCAACTGCGGGGTCGATCTGGATGTCTGGGCAGGAGCTCAGCACAGCAGCAGAGGTGGAGGCAATGCTCTCCTCCAGTTCCCCGATGCCATCCCCCGCAACATCCAGTCCTTCCAGAACAGCGGAGGCAACTTGGAGGGGTTCCTCAAGGAATTCCCCTGCAGGGGATGGCACCAGCAAGTCCACGTCCTGGCCTGCCTCAGGAGCAGGAGACTCCAGCTCCAAACCCTCATAGGGAAAGAGGGAGCCCAGCACTCGTGGGCGGAGGAAGGGCTCCTCTGTGTGGCACAACCTGCTCACCGCATCCTCTCCCTCATTACCCGCAGCCCCTGCCTCTCGCTTGGGCACCTCTGCAGCCCTTGGGGAAGGTGGCATCCCAACGGGGTTGGGGTCTGTGTGCTCCACCACAGGCAAAACCTCAGGCACTGGGGGTGCAGGAGGTGCCTGCTCACTCCGTGGCTTCTTAGAGAAGGCCCCGATGAGCAGCAGGTTGATCCAGTCGGGATCAGCCATCTTCCTGATGGCCGGCAGCAGCACATTGCAGGCCACCAGCTCCACCACCACAAAGCGCCCCGTCCGGGTCTCCAAGTGGGGCTTGGGCACCAGCGCCTGCAGCAAGGTCTCTACAGCAGCTCTGGCATAGCCCACTTCAGCTGCAGGGCTCTGGAGGGCAGGATGGGGCCCCGCAAGGCGGCTGTACTCCTGCCACAGAGCCTGGCCACCCTTGGGCTCACCCCTCAAAGCCTCACGAGCCTGCAGGTAGCTCTGCAAGTGATGGCCACAGAGGAGGAGGAGGCGCCGGGTCACAGCTTGGCGGTCCACCCGCGCCATGCGCCTCCTCAGCTCGGCAGTGAGCCCCAGCATGGCCTTCTCCACCTCGGCCTCAAAGGCCGGCTCGGGGCTGACCGTGCGGTACCAGGAGGTGACAAAGTCCCGCAGCACCTTGCGCACGGTGCTGGCGATCTCCCCCTCCAGCCTCCCCACGGCCGATGGGCTCCGGGGCTGGGGCTGCAGGGAGCTCACAAAGCGCTCCAGGCGCAGGCGCCGGCCCGACGGGGTGAGAGCCTGCGGGCCCAGCCACCCCCCCAATGCTGCCAGGAGCCCGCAGAGCAGCCCCAGGGCACGCAGGTCCAGCAGCAGCCCCAGGGCCAGCAGCCAGCATAGGGCAGCCCCCAGGGTCAGCAGCAGGCGACGGAGGCCTGATGGCCCCTGGGCTGGCATGGCTGGACAAGGGGACCACACTGAGACTCACCCAAGGGCTCCTTCAAGGTGTCAAAGTTCAACTTTACAGGCTCCTCAACTGTCCTTTATGGGCCCACTGACCATGCACACTAGAGCACAACACAACCACCTCCTTTACCGAGTACAGGGCCCAAACAACTGGGCTCATCAACTGGGCAGCAGGGCTCACAGGAGCCCACCACACTGGGGCTCAATAGAACCCAACAGACCCAAACCCTCACCAGGCATTGGGGCTCAATGGAGCCCAACAGAGCCGACCCCTCACCAGGCACTGGGGCTCAATGGAGCCCAACAGACCCAACCCCTCACCAGGCACTGGGGCTCAATAGAACCCAACAGAGCCGACCCCTCACCAGGCACTGGGGCTCAATAGAACCCAACAGAGCCGACCCCTCACCAGGCACTGGGGCTCAATAGAACCCAACAGAGCCGACCCCTCACCAGGCACTGGGGCTCAATAGAACCCAACAGACCCAAGCCCTCACCGGGCACTGGGGCTCAATAGAACCCAACAGACCCCCCTACGGGCACTGGGCTCAAGAACCCAACAGACCACCCTCACCGGCCTGGGCTCAAAGAACCCAACAGAGACCCTCACCAGGCCTGGGGCTCAAGACCACCCTCACAGCCTGGGGCTAAGACACCCCTACCCTGGGGCTCAATGACCAGACCACCCTCACCGCACTGGGGCTCAATGACCCAACAGAGCCGACCCCTCACCAGGCACTGGGGCTCAATGGAGCCCAACAGACCCGACCCCTCACCAGGCACTGGGGCTCAATAGAACCCAACAGACCCGACCCCTAATCGGGCACTGGGGCTCAATGGAACCCAACAGAGCCAACCCCTCACCGGGCACTGAGGCTCAACAGAACCCAACAGAAGAGGCTCCTTCAGGAGACCCAACAGAGCCCCATAGAGCCGGCTCCTTCGCTAAAGATTAAGCATCCCCATAGAACAGGCCCCTTAAAGGGCCCAAACAACCGCGCTCACGCACCGGGTCTCACTAAAGCACAATCGAACACAGCTCTTTACCGCAGGCCAACAGACCAAGCTCCTGCCCCGAGCACCAGGACACAACCACCCAAATACCTTATCAGAGGAGCTCTATAAGCACCGGAGACCACCATAAGAGCCACAACAAGCCATACCGAGCCCTAATCGCCACCCCGAGGCACTTATAGCCACCACCCGGAACCGGCCGCCATTACCAGCCCCACTTCCGGTACCGCCCACCTCGCCTGACCACCCCCCCCTCCCTTCTACACAGCGCCCCCTGGCGGGCGGGAGGACTCGCATTTTCCTTCGGGATACGGAAAGAAAAGCCTCTAAAGTTTGGAGAAAAGGCAGGAAAACCCCTTCCCCCTCTCTTTATTTTGGGTGCGAACTGGAAAATACCCCTTTTTTTTCTTTATTTTTATCCCTATTTTTACACGCATTTAAAAAAATCCATTTTTCATCCATTTTATCCCTAAAAAAGGACAGTTTTTGTATCTTTTTGCTCTTTAACACGATATAAAAACTTATATATAATATTATTATATAGGCTTATATATATCCTATATCGGCTTATATAATGCGGCCATCAACCAGCAGCTGCGCTGCCGAGCGCCTCCCCTGGGGCACATTAGCATCACTAAAGGTTCCCAATCACAGCAATCAAAAACAGCCCAAAAAAGGAGTTTTAGGCTCAAATGAGGCTCAGGTGGTGGCCAGGGGTTAATCAGAGGCAGAGCGGGTGGGGTTTGGGTATAAAACAGCCTGGGGAAGGACTGGGTTCTTCTTGGTATTCCAGGGATGGGGATGCGGACGGTCCACATGGTTTCCCTTCTGCTGTGATTGCTGATGGGTGAGTGCCTTGAAGATCCTTATCTTTTATCCTGCAAGGAGATCCCTATGGAGCTACTAAGAATAAGGCAGGAAAGACGGATTCTTTTGGGCTGCCCTCATTTTCTGGGGTTTGAGGTGTCCTGGGAAGTTGTTCCTGGAATGGTTCTTTGTCCATGATGTTAAATGCTTGATGGGGTGAGAAGTGTTTCTGTTGCCAGAGCGTTTTAGGGCTTTCTGGTTTTCCTTTGTGTGTAGGTAACCTTCTTGGGCTCCCATGGAGAGTAAATGAAGTAAGAAACCCACCAAGTGGGCATTAAAGGATGTTCAAGCCTGTGGGAGCTGCTGTTGGGTGGGATTTGAGTGCTTCAGGAGAGCAGAGCACCAGGAAAACTTACATTAATCAAAGCTTTTGCTTAACAAAGCATCCTATTGGGGTAGACTCATAAAGGGGCTCTTTGCAGTCAAATCCCATGGGAAGCAGAGGTGCAATGCTGCTCTCTGTAGTGGATTGGTGTATCCCTGGCATCACTGCACATCCAGGGCTCTGGTCTTCCCCTTGTTGCCATCTCTGCTATGGTGTGAATAGATGCTTCAGGCCAGCATCGGTGCTATAGATGTGGCATAAAAGGACCCATTGGGAGCTGTTGTTTCGGAGTTCTGCTGGGAAGTGTGGCCAATTAAAAGAGATTCATTTACAATGGGTACCAACCAGGAGTCTGACAGTTCAGTGTTAATGGGGAGATGCAGAACACAGCAAGAACGATCACGGGAGGTGGGATGCTGCAAACCTGCTCTGCTTGTCCTTGGCCATGATGGTCCTTCCAAATGGCTGATGTGGAGGTTTAAATCACCTGCCTGAGCTGCTGTTCTCAAGTGCCTGGTTCCATTTGGATCATGGATTTCCCTACTTGAAGCAAGGGGAGAGTTTCTAAGGTCCTTTAATGCTTACACCCCTATTACGCAGTGCAATTACACCCATTTGCATAGTGCTTTGCTTAACTGGATTGCTCCTGGGAAGGGCCATACCTCTGTGAAGATGCTCGAAGTTAAAGTTATGGCTGTGTGGATGCTTTAAAGGGGGGGGGATGTAAATGATGCAGGAAACAATGGCCTGGCTCATGTGTGCTAGAGTTGTTTCCAGGGGGTAAAGTACCTGCAATTCCCTGTTTTAACAAGGGAAATCACTTCAGGGGCAATTCGTCCTCTTGGAATGCAGATATAAAAGGCGATGGTGTGGCAAGGCACTGCCAGAGCAGGTATCTTCATCCTAGGGTTGCTATCCATCCTCTTCGTCCCCCCCAGTAAAGCAGGAATGGCTTGATTAAATGGTTGGGAAAAGTGGGGGACACATAAATCCCATGTGAATTGCCCATAGTGGTGTTGTTATGTTTGGAGGATGAGGATCTCGAGTGCAGCAGAGCATCAGCAGCCAGAATAGCTGCAAATGAATGGGCTTGGTGGCTACATGAGGAACGTGGAGGTCAAGTGTGGAAGCCTGAAACACTTGACTCATCCACTGTGGGCTTGAAAGAAGGGAGTTGAAGTGGTTTGTATGTCTTAAGGCCCAAAGCCTCTCCAGCACAGACTTAAGAGGCTGGTTATAAGGTGTCTATGCTGAGTGCAGGTGTTCTTGCTGCATCCCTCGTTGTCTTTGTATGAGATGCACCTTACATTGAATCTTATGGGTGTTTTTCCTTGGGAAGCAGGGTTATTAACATGGAGACAGCCTGTGCAGTGTCTGGAACCAGAAGACCACAGTGGGACCCCAGTTGCTATAGAAATATTGTCATTTGGATGGTTCTCTGCCTTCTGCGTGAGCCTTGAAGTGAACAAATGAGTGCATTGCTGCTTTGCCATGATGCTCTGCCAGCTCCGAGCTTGGCTTCGTGCTTGCTGTCCTGTGATGTCTGTTTTGAAGGGGCTCTTGGGTGCTGGAAGCAATTCCTAGCATCAATATCCTGAAGCTGGGAGTCTTCCTGCTAGGGATGATGGCTCTGATCTACCTGGCTGATTTAGCAGTGCAGAGCTCTGCCTGCCAAGGAACAGGAGGTGATGAAAGAGCTGCTGTCATGCTGAGATGCTAAGGCTGGGCTGGACAGGCACTGGAACAGGCTGCCAGGGAAGTGGTGGAGAGGCAGCATCCCTGGAAACGTTTAACAGATGGTGGATGTGGTGCTTGGGGACAGGGTTTAGTGGTGGACTTGATGTTAAAGGTCTTTTCCAACCTAAATGATACCGTGATCCTATGAGTTTGCTATGGAAACCCACTGGGGCAAGAGGGAAAGGGCTTCTTTGCAGGCAGTGCTGACTTGTATTGTCTAGGTTTGGATGAATCCTGTGCTGGAGAGCTGGGAAGGGGCAGGATCAACAGTCCTAATGCTATCCTAAGGTATATGGCTTGACAAACATGGATCACCACTGCATCCAAGCTTGTTGTCTTGGAGACCTTGTGGAGATGGACCACACTTTATCATACCCTATATCCCTTAAACCTCCCACCCGCCATCCCAGCTGCATCTTGCCCTTGTCTTGATTAACATACTCCAAGCTCATAAATCTAAGGAAGTGGATTTGGGAAGAACTTTCCTGCCTCCAGTAAAACTTGCCTTTCAATTATTTAACAAGCTTCTTAAGCAACTCAGCTATTTTGCATGGAATTTGTCAAGGCTCCATCAGCTCTACACAGGGCAGCGTGACAGCCATACTTTTCTTTGGAGCAGCGTATTCATCTTGGAATGGCGCTATTTGTTTTCCTCTCTTGCTTTTATGGGGCTTAAAAGCATGTATCTTCTCCTGAAAATCAATAACTAAAGCTATGAATAATAAAAACCACTGCAGTGAATGGCTCGTAGAGATCCTATGGATGTAAGCTGCGGCAGTAATGAGTCTGTTTGCTATCCATTAAGTACGTGAACTCAGAAGAATTATGCAGATTATAATAGCTGTATCAACATAAGTATGTTTTGCTGATAGACTTCCCTGATTGGATCCATGGGATATAAGCCTGATAATCCCCTATGCACAGGACCTGATTATATTAGAGAAAGTTAAGAAATAATTGCCCAAAATTGGCTGGTGTGAGGGGGGGGTTTCTCCATAGCAATTGTGTTGCTCCCTTGGAGCAAACTGGCTTTGGTGGAAGCCAAGAGCCCAGCTCCAAGCCCTGGTGGAAGCACAGACAATAAGGAAAGGTTTATGGACCAGAAGGGAAA